TCCCAAGAACACCAGAACTCCTGGAGACTCTCTTGGGGCCCCTCACTCCTACCAATGCGGACGCAGTGCCCCACAGCTGCAGAGCCAGGGGGGTCCCCCAGACAGACAGAGGACCCCACCTAAGAGGCAGCCGAAGTCAGAATCAGATGTCTGGAACAAACAGCACAGGGCACAGTGCACACATTCATTGTCTACAAACAGCCTCTGCCCCAGAGTGTGGCATCCTGGGATGCACCAAGCTCTTGAAGGAGGCTACTGGTGCCTATTTAGTTTTAAGGGACTCAGCCTCCAGAGCTCCCGACTTTCCTCCATGAAGAAGTGACTGCACTCTGCGAGACCACCTTTCTTCTCTCCATTCACAAACCGCCCCCACAGAGCTGCAGAAAGCAGGGCCATCCCTCACCAGTGTCTGCAGGACAGGGGCCCAGAAACAGAACCTGGAAGGACAAAGCGCACCTACAACTGAAGGTGGAAAATGCAGGCAACCATGGAGTGGTTCAGAGAATGGAGGAGAAACACCTCATATGGATCTTCAGTTACAGCCACTCAGTAACTGTACTTGTACTTCTCTAAGAAAGTGGGAGGATAAGCAAGCAAGAGGAAGAGAAACAAAGAAAGGAAATGAAAAAGAAGAAGAGAAGGGAGGGCAAGAAAGGAAAGGAAAGGAAAGGAAAGGAAAGGAGGGAAAAACTGTCACTGAACCTTGTCTTGCTTTGTCCACAAATAATATTTATGTGCACATGCCTGAAGCAATGGTAAAAAAGTCACTCTGACTCCATGCAGGTTACTTCCCAATACCATTTTACTTTTCACATGAAATATGTATCAGTTCATCACATATTTATGTTGTTTAGATCTAAGCATATGTACTAAAAATTATAATGGTGAGTTCACTCAGGAAATGCTTTTAAAAACTTAGAATTGTACGGTCAGATCAAATGAAGAAATAAGTTTAAATTTCATTGTACATACCCATTTTGTGGCGCAGATTTATGATGAGGTAACAAAGGACTTTCAAGCTTAAAAATATTCCATTAGATAAAGTTCAGCAGAGGAAGGAAGTAGAATGGAAACAGAAGCTTGTGCAGAAAGAGAAATGATAGAAAATGTCTACAGAAGTTTATTCTTAAACTTGGGCAATAGATGATGGTAGATAGCAAATGCTTTGGTATTTGAAAACTACATATAAAGAACAGTGTATGTGTTTGATCATAAAAAGTAAACTATATACATGATGTCTGAAATTACATGCTGTATAAGTATTTAAATGTAGGTAAGCATTTTCGATGTGACTCTTAAAATGTGCTCAGGTTTTCTACAGTGTGTGTGGGTGAGGACCGAAGCAAAAAGCAACAACGAGAGCTTCCTTTTCCTCGTGCCGTTTCTAACAGTTCTTCTAGGGGATATTTTTAAAAAGGAAAGGAAGGGAGAAAAGGTATGAGAGACAGAGAGAGGGCAATAGCTCTGTTGATGTATCAGGGAATGTTTTTGAAACACTAAATGTGAAATACAGATCTGCATTTCCCAGAGGTAGACCTGCGTTTGCTAGGCGGCCCCACGGGGTGTACGCAAGCCCTGATGAGATGCAAAACATCTGTGGGTGAGACTGATTATTTGTCAACATAAGGAGAGACTAACGAAGTTGCAGTAACTTTCCCCCAGGCATCTCCCTGGCAATCTATATTCAAAACATTTGCAGGCTTGCTAATGGGGAGAACATGTTCAGTTATTTGCTCTGAAATCTCAGTTTGGGGTCCATGACTTTCCAAATGAAGATGTGGCTATTGGGGGGTTTGGGCTGTAGTACAGGGGTAAAGTGCTTGCCTGACACCCACCGAGGCCCTGGGTTTGACCCCCAGCACCACCAAGCAGGATGAAGATGGCAGCAGGAGCAGGAGGAGAGGGAGAAGCAGAGAGAAAAAAGAGAAGGAGAAGAAAGGGAAGAACAAGAATTAAGAGGAGAAAGAGAGTTATTGCATATGATATGTGCTAACGACTTCCAACAAGAATCTGCAAAGAGCCCGGCATAGCTCTAACATCCTTTGGGTGTGGAATCCTATGAGAAACATGAGCTGAAAAATCAGGAAATGAAATCCCAAACTTGCAGTTATTAGAATTTGAAGGACTATAGAGATGTTCAATTTGGGGCTGTACTCTCACCACGGCACATTTCCCTAAGTGCAATTTTACAAAATGCATTTTGATTACAGTTTGCAGATTTGATTGGACCATGTTTGGACAACAGGACTGCACAGCATTGTGGAACAATTTTCAGTAATCTGGAATCTGACACACACTCACAGTTTGTCCTTCAGGCTTGGCAGCAACCTCTAGCAAGAAACAACACGACAAGACAAGGACAGCAGGCTCTCCTTTGGCATCCAGAACATTTTTAGTCATACGTTTGCATCTTAAAGAGATGTTCAGCTGCCTCACATATTTTTAGCAGTTATTGGTACTTACTGCATCAAGTTAATCCACTGCTAAATATCAGTCACTCACCTGTTAATTTGGAAGCACTGTCCCTGCTGTGTGCATGACCACAACAGTGATTAAGAGTTTGCAGGGGTCGTGAGCAATTAGATTAAAATGTGGCTGAGGCATAATTTGTAAAGTAGCCCCCCCTCAATGGGGTACCCCACTGTGAAAGTGCAGTGTATGGGGAGAGACACCTGAGGGATAAGAGAAGAGGAGAAGCAGCTCACAGTCTTGGTGTCTAGACAGACAAAGACATTCTAGCACCAATAGCTCGGTGACTGACCCAGAGGGAAGAATATGTAGACATGAAGACATCCTTTCTCTGTATTTCCCAAGAGCAAGTGCTTTTCTGTCCTTGTCATTCAGTGCCTTCATGTGGTGGGTGTTTACCCGGCATCCCAGGGAGGAATTCGTAATATATTTCCCTATGGCAACATCTCATAAATTGCAAGTATGATCAAATTGTATTTTTACGGTACACTTCAGCTTTGCAGAACGCTCAGGATTTTGTCCTCTAGCTAGGTGAACTTTGCTTACAGTGGAAGGCTTGTGCCTTTCAAACTTATAATTTATGTTTTTTTTTCAAAAATATTGGCTATGTTTGATGGTACAAGCCTTTAAAAATGTATACTTAGAAGTCTTTTTAAAAAGCATCATTTTGTCAGTTATGGTGTGGCTGTGATAATTTTTATAAGGAGGTCCAATATGTTAGCATGTGGGAGGAGCTTTCTACCTACCTCTAAAAGCCAAAGGAAATACTTTGGGTTGTCTAAGGTACCCTGGGTCCCCTCCTGGCTTCAGGCTGTTAACAATCACTGCTTCATTTTTGTCTCGGTGTCTCCTTTTATCACCATTTTTCACCATTCAAATCCAACAGCAAGACTTGTTAAAATTATATTTAGAATAAGAATACATGGCTTCATTTAACTTTTCCTGGGATGAAGAAGGACATGCTGCAGCACAAAAGCTTTATAACATCTATTTTGGCTGTTCAGTGGCATTTCTCATTCTGTATGACTTGGCATTTGGGATAAAAGAACCATTAAGTTATTTTAGATAGAAAAGGTGCTGCTTTTCAATACTTGAAGAGAATTATAAGTTAAATAGGCTTGCAATGGCTGTCTTGGGTACTGAACCGCCATTTGTAATATTTTTCACACGAGAAAAATGTATTTAAAATTCTAAATAACTGGCTCACCAGCTTCTAGAATACAGTCCATTCTTACATTAGGAACTTCTGTTACGCACACAGGTTTTATTTCTCTGGGTTGCCTAGCAACAGAAATGCGGTAAGAGATGTCAGAGGTTAAGGAGCAGACTAAAGTCATTACGGAAATCCAGCACTTATCAGCATTTTCCATCTAACTTTGTAATCTTGGAAATAAAATAAGGTTTCATTGTATTAAATGTCTGCATTTTTTCTTATCAAATGCCAACTTTTTAGAGACATTTTTTCTCTCTGAATATGAGTCCATCACACATAAGGAATTATAATTATGCACACTGCTTTGAAACGGACTTCTTTATGACACTGGCATACTTTGAAGGTTAAAGTGAATACTCTGGTTCTGTCCTCAGTTACTGTGTGAAATGCAGTTGTGAGCACTTCTGAAAACATGCCAAGAAGTATCAGAGAAAACACCAGATCTAAATACCCTCACTTTGAACCATTAGCGTGGAATTAAATTCCATTTTCAAGTGTATGTGTCTGCCTACTAGAAAAAGGAAGGCAGAAGTTTCTGTAGGTTTGCTTGTCTCTGTTTTGAAATGGGGAGAGATGTGCTAGTGTTCTTCTCTGTGCGGCAGTGTTCTTCTCGTCCCCCCAAAATTTTAAGCAACACTCTGAAGATTACTTTTTCTAGCTTGTTCTGTACCAAAGGCTAAGGTCCTGAGGACTCATTGCTCATACGTAGTTAACTGTATTTTGGCATGATGTATTAAAGGGCTTTCACACAGTTCTCTCTCTCTCTCTCTCTCTCTCTCTCTCTCACACACACACACACACACACACACTCTCTCTCTCTCTCTTTGAGACAGGGTCTCACTATGTAGTTCAGGCTGTTCTTGAACCCACTATTAGCCCAGACTACCTTGAACTTGCAGTGATCCTCCTGACTCAGCCTTCCCAGTGCAGTGATTACAGGACTGTGCCACCATGCCTGGCACAGTACACTTTAATGATATTTTATTTCTAAGGGTTATCCATGAGTCCTGGCCCAAATGTTTAACATTTCTAGATGGCTGCTGTAAAGATAAGGCAGCCAGAGTCCCATTCTGTATTAGTTTGAAATGGACCCAGAATTGCTTTCAGAGAAACATTTAACTTTTTCTCTCTGGTGATCTGTCCTCCCTCAGTTCACCTCCAGGGGAAGCAACAGCCATCAGCCAGCGGGGACGTGCTCCTCAATTTCATCAGAGACAAAGAACTCTACCTCTTCTCTGTCGCCAGCGCCTCGGCAACACTGCACTCCAAGCTGTAGTCTGAGACTGTGGAGGAAGAGCCAGTGTGGAGAGAGTCTTACCGAAAGGCAAGCTGGGGAACATCTATCCACTGACATCGCCAGTAGGACGTGGGATCCGTCTGCTCCACGCGGTGCCCTCCAGCGCACTGTGGTACAGACCTGTGCCCATGGGGCCCTGGCCCCTCTGAACAGCGCGTCCCCAGTGAGGTTTGAATTATATGTAGATCAGCGTCTGCCTGCTGCCACCACCTCTCCCTCCCTCTGGATCCAGAAGAGGACTGTGCGGCAGTGTTCTTCTCGTCCCCTATTAAGAGCATCCACAGAAGAAACGTCTCTTTGGTTTAGCGTTAAGGAAACTTGGGGTTTTATGCCACAGACACCTCACATCTCCACTGTCACGGTTTTCTCTTCACTTTCGCTGCTAAGAACATATGAGCTAAATTTGCGAACTACCTCTACCAATTGTCCAAACATGAGCACATATATATCAGAGGTATTTTGTCTTGACTTTATTTTTTCCCTTCCCATGCTTTTTTTTAAACTCGGAATTATTCAACCACTTTTTCTATTGGGGTGATTGGGATGCGTACCTTAAGTCTGCTTTGGAACAATGCAGGATATGAATTAACAGACCATAAGCCACGTCTGGCAGTGCAAACCTGTAACCCTAGCTACTAAGGAGGCTGAGGCAGGAGGATTGCATGTTCAAGGTCAGCCTGGGCAAGTTGCTGAGGCCCAAAATAAAAAATAAAAAAGGCTGGGGATGTCGCTCAGTGGTAGCATGCTTTTCTAACTCAATCCCTGGGCTCAGTTCCCAGCAGTGCAAAAAAGAAAAAAAAAGTTAAACAAGATAGGCTTTCTTCAGCTTTGTGAATCCACACAGAACGAAGAATATCTTTTACCACCTCCTTAATTACTGTTGCTGTGAGTGCCAGAATCACACGAGATGGGGAAAGAAGTGACAGAAGGGGTGGGAGCCAGAAGGGAAGGTAGGAAGTCTCACTCTCGGTAGCAAAGAAGAAAGTGAGTTTCTATGGCTACGGGGTCACTTCTGAGGAAAGTTAAGGGCTGCAAGTTGGGAACTGCTTGAACTAAATCCGAAGGTTACCCTGAAGAGCCCGACACACCCAGTTTGTACAATATGAGCATGTCATTGCCAGGAGACATATTTATGAAGTAGGTTTGTTCATAATATCGCATAACTAATTAATACATCACCATTTGGCCCACACACATATGCAGTTCTAAAAATTATCCCAAACCTGTTACTATACTTTCCACAAATACAATTAAGAAAGCAGCTTGATTAAAAAACAAAACACGTGAACAATGCAGAAAAATTGCTTTGGGTAAGTCCCATGGTGGTACCTTCAATCAAAAGTAGCCATATAGCTGCAATCTATGGAGACTTGAATGTTTTTCTTTTTAATTAAAAATTTTTTTTTGTCTTTTTCAGGCAGTGTCTCGCTATGCAGTTCAGGCTAGCCTTCAACTCACTTTGTAGCCCAGGCTGGCCTTGAACTCAAAGCAATCTTCCTGCCTCAGCTTCCCAAATACTGGCATTACATGTGTGCAACACCGCTGTTTAATGTAGGAACCATGGTGATCAGATCATTAGAAGCCACTTTGATGCAGTGTGCATATTCCTGTGTAGCTGGCATTTGTCCATGTGGCATAGCTCACAGGAGGGAAGATGTTACATCAGAATGTTTAGAAAGCTCTCGGCACCCATATTGTTTTAGTGTGGGGTCTGAGGGCTGGCAGGCACCTTGACACCTCACACTCCTCAGCACATACATTGCCTCCCTTCTTTCTCTGAATCTCCCTCATCAGGACCCTCTTCTCAGGTAGGAAACAAACCTCTCAAGACTTGTTATCATAAACAGTATTATTAGTACTCATGTTGTGCTTATAAACTACAGTGTACTTACAAACAGAGACCTAGGGAAAAAAAATTAACTACTTTAAAAAAAAAGAAATCAAGACTAGGTCACACAACTTAAGTGAAAACTTCCCTACCCTTGATAAATGGCAAGTGCAACAAAAAGTTAATCTGGGGTCTTTGGACAATTACCTCATATGTAGAGGCTTTAACAACGTGAATATTTTCATGTTAAAATTATCTCTTCATGGTGCGTCCTTCATGGGGCATTCAAAGTCGTTTCCCTCCTAATCCTACAGCTCCAGTGACATGATTCAATCCGCTTCTCCAATCACAACACAAGAGATGCACTACAAGTTTGAATTTCACATCACAATCAGTTTTAGTCCTGTTATTTGCCGAAGTCTGGAATGTGTTGCATTCGTTTGTGGAATAAACATATATATGTCACTTGTGGGATATATTATATATGCACACACACGTGTATGTGTACGTATTTGACTCCCCCTGTCATTTTAGAGTCAATACTTCTGGCACTTAGGAGGTTTTCCCTTCTCCTCCTAAGCAGTGTGCTTTATGCTGCACACCTGTTTTCCTTCTGAGAGTCTGGAGTTTTGATATATGCCCGACCAGTGGTGGCAAAACTTTTAGAGCTTTTGGTGACGACAAGCAGCTCACTATGGCACGCGTGCCATAGGTTCGCCACTACTGAGCTGGAGGCAGGCTGCCTCGGGTCCAACAGTAAAGCCCCGGGCCGTGAGTCTCTGCGGATACGTCTTGCCCGCAGTGTCAGTTTTTGCTGGAGACGTCAGCACGCCCAGTATGGCTGTCCCGGAAGAGAACCCTGGGAAGCTCTTGCTTGTTCTCCCTGAGAATTCCCGCGAACCTTTCCCCTTTGCTTTGTGAGGTTTTACCATAGTGAATTTAACTATAAGCACGAAGAGATGCTGAGTCATCCAAGCAAATCCCCGGACCTGGGCTGTCTGGCTGAGGTCTGGGGGAGGCCGCACCTTTCCCAGGGTCTCTGTCCAACGGGAACAGCCCTTCGTCACCTGCTCTCACCACACATGCCCGAGCAAGCGCTGCCACTAGACGGCAACAAGTGCTCCGTCCCTGCCGCTGGGATTGGAAGTTTGCTCAGAGAATGCTCTCAGCCAAGTGTCCACATTTCGGTTTGTGTTCCCTGTTTGCTCTGCCATTTGCGGTTTAATTATGAACAGTTCCTGACCTTGCTAAGTCCCAATGTCCTTCCATATAAAACATGAGTAAAACTATAGGTTCAAATAATATCTAGGTGCAAGATCTTTATTTTTGGTAGTTTCCGACAGTTGCCTACCAAAAGGTACATTCTACCAGGATTTATTCCAAAGCTAACGGCTTCGTGCAGAGGGGTCTATTTTCTTTGTGACTTTCAGTATGAAAAACCATTTTTAATAGCTCTGCAAAAAAAACTTCTGCATTTATTGAAAAACTAGAAGAAATACTTCAGAATCAGACATTTAAAAGAAAATAGAATGTGCTGCAAATATAGGAATAATACTCCAAATATCATACCCTAGGGTACATCTCCCAGATAATAGTATTGTTTTAGAAAGTTATGGTCAGGGAAAAAAAAAGAATATAGAGATATTAGCAACCAAGGAGTTGGCAGGAAAGGTGCTGGGTTGCCCCATGGCCCTCAGGATGAGGCAGGTGACACACGTGGGAAACAGTCTCTTCTGAAGCTTTAAGTGCACCCTTTGTTAAGCTCCTGAGAGATGAAACCATTTCACCAATCGAACAGCCTTGCCTCGCTGAGCTCCTGCTGCTTCTGTGCCCACCCTTGGTCATTACCAAACTCAGGCCTCATCTAGATCACTGCTGAAAGTCAGTTTTCAAAGGATCCAAGAAGTGCAGCCTCTCGTGGACAGACCCGATGGAGGACCCCCCAGCTCGAACGAGGTGAGCTGGGTTACGGCAGCCCCTTCCCTTTGACATTTCGGTAACACCTCATTTCAGTGAAGTTAAGTCATCAGTTGTTTTTACAGTTACTCACAAAACAAATTCTGTTTGACTACTTTCCTGTGTCATTCTTGACATGAAAACAAATTACAACTTGTGAATTTCAAAGTCTAAGCATAAGCACACAATGTTCTTGTCATTGGACAGCGTTCAAACTTTTACCTTTCCCTGAATGGAAGTTGCCATCACAAACAACTACCGGCTATTTTCAAACTCTGCAAGCCTGGGCTCCTAGAGCAAAGAATTCAGACTGGTGTCACCGAGAAGGACGAAAGGAAGGTGAGATGTCCTTGTAGCTACACTCTGTCTGTGTTTATTTCCAGATTTTTCTGCTAAAAACTAAAAAGCATAGCTTTCAAACCAGAGCAGAGGGAGAGAATAATTAGCATAGCAGAGTCATGAATGGGCAAATACTTTAAGAGGCAGCATGCACTAACGAATAACTTCCCTGTTGCCCTCGTTGAATTCATATGCGGATTTGTTTCAAGGTGGATCCAGTTCAGAGCTATACCCACTAACAACGGCCACTTCCTGTAAGTATGCATTCAGATTAGCAATAGGAAAAATTTACCTCCGAATCCTAAGAGGGACTTGGAGCACAGATAGAGACAGATGAGGGAAGGCATGCTGCAGTGCAGCAGTGTCAGCTACTGTAGCACCCGCCTGCTCTGGCTCCTCCAGGAATGCTCTCTGGGAGCCAGGGGAGATCCACAGGAGCAGAAGCAGCTCCTTTGCTGTGCCAAGTAGATGCTGTGCTCGGATGAAACACTCAAAACCACGCAAGGGCAGGAAGCACTAACCACGCGGCGTTTTAGTGTCCTTCAGATCTTCTGCGCTTTCTCCGTCGGCCGGTGGGGCTGCTCCGCATGACTGCAGCCGCCTCCGAAGTGCTACGGAAGGCAACTCCAGCACAGAGGAGCAGAGGAACCCAGCGGCCACAGGCACCCGCCCCCCAGCCCTAGCTTCCTGCAGCAGCACAGCCTCCTTTGCTTGGCTCTGCGTTTTCAGTGTCATGAGGTATATTTTTAAAATCCTCACAGTCCCATTAACACACATCAAGCATAAACACATACTTGGCTATAAAGATAAGCAGAATAATTACACTGATTTCTGCCTCTCCCCTTCATGTTGTCAAGGACTCCACTGAATTTCTCCCTTTTTACTTTCTTAGACTCTATTTGCCCCAAGGAAATCTGAGTTCTTTAACTTGCTCCATTCCCTAAAGTCCAGCAATACTTGTAGGACTCCACTAGTCAGACGGATAAGCAAATGGGGCAGATTTCCAACACAATCAGTCTCTTCTTAGGTGGGAGGCCCAGCAGGGACTGAGATGCCCTCTTTTTCTTTTTGTTTTTTTTCCAGTACCAGGAGTCGAACTCACAATCTCGCGCTTGCCAGGCAGGCGCTGTGCCGCTGAACTA